TCAAATCTCATGGTGATATGTAGTTGAAAAAACACACGTAGGTTCATATCATTAGATTAAAATTTTTTTTCTTCGTCATATAAAATTTGATATAAGCAGCTACTCAACGTACTTTGTATGTTTATGGCAAGAGTTTTCTCATCCACAGTAGGAGGTCTTGACAGAATGTCGAGCGCCTCTGTGCGATTGAATGTACTGATGTAAGGATCTTAAAAAAGACTTTTAAGTTTAAGAATAAAATTATCGGAGATGAGTTGCTAACCACCGGGCTTTCCTCCGATCGGCGGAAGTGGAGGTCTTCGGTATGGATCTAAATTGCTTGCCGAATTTTGACGGGCTTGGAATTGACTCTGCTTGTCCGGTGCCGTTCGACAACACAAGCACCTGTGCGATGCCATGAAGTAAGTCTAAATTTTGCTATGCATCCATTACAAACTCACTTTTTCCAATTCACATCCTCACTGTACGCATTTGCCAGCACGGGGTCGTTGTCTTGTTGAATTACTCGTCTTCAAATAAAAACATTTATCACCAATGGAGCAAAATAAGCTTGCAATAGTGTTTATGAATTAAAAACGCCTAAAGTTTTACACTCACTTTTTGTGTTTCACTATCCAAACCACAATGATGCAGATGATACAGATCACTATCAAGGAGACAACGCCAACAACTGCATATATTAGCCACGCACTCTCATCAAAAATAGATTCTGGAATGTGAGTAAAATTAACCTGGAGAAAGCGGATGTATGAGTGATTAGCCGGGTTTTCATGGCTCGTTCTCAGTTACAAGCACCTTCCGGTGGTTCCTCCCTACCGCTTTTCCTTCTCTTCCCTCGTACAAAAATCTTTAATTGCCATAAGTTATGCGTTACCCTGAAGATACATTGGCCTGACCACTCCCTTATTAGAACTGCCGCTAATCTTTCGTAGAATAGCGTTGGCAAAACGTTATGGGTTGCTTTATCAATAAGTCACTTTGAAAAAATCTTATGTATCGACGGTTTTGATAAGTTTCAATGATGTGATAACACTCCAATAATGACAATCCATTTTGGGAGGTGACAGATTTTTTACGCCTATGATGAAGT